CGCTATAATTTATTGTTTCAACAAATTTTCTTTTTGTAAATAATTTTTCTTTTGCAAGTAATTTTTTTTTTAAATTTTTTTGGTGCGATTATTATTTTTTTTTGTAATTTTTTTGATAAAATGATGTCATAGCAATTGCATATATATATCGAGAGCTTTAAATTCTGAGTTAATATTACTTACTTACCAAAAATTTAAATAGTATTCATTAATATTAAATAATCGTATATAATAAATTTAGCCCATCTCTATTGTCGACACCTATTTAAACCATCTACATCTACTTTTCCATGATCAAAGTCGTATTGGTCAGAATCCTGGAAATTTTTCTTTGTCTTTTTACGATTGGATTCAAGAGAGTCATCATCAGTTATCAAATTTCGCTTGACCAATAATGAACTTGCGTTATGAAAATCATCATAATGTTCATTTATTCGGTTATAGCCATTAAAAATTACAGAATCCTAAATATTTATGTAGACTAGTTGAACACATAATCGCAAATACGTCAAAATTAAAAAAAAAATATATATATATATAAATAAATCAAACCTTTGCGATTTCAATTTTTTCTTTTAGCAATTCGCGTCTGGTTGATTTTTTGGTAAGTATCTGGCGATTAATCCTCTCTACTTTTTGTTCGTTCTGCTGAGACTTAGTAATATAATTAGAAAGAATATATTTTCAAAAAGTATATCCAAAAATGAAACAGCCTGGAAGGTTGGTTTTAGAAATACGTAGAAGCACTACGTCTAACAAGAATACATCTTGCGCAAGAATACACGACCCCCTAAATTCATAGGAAGACATTCATATGATTGGTTAATTTTTGTAGATCTACCCGTGATTTCCCGTGATAATTGACCAATTAAATTACATAATTTTTTAAAAAATTTTCGACTAAAAAAACGAAAAACTTCATATAAAGAAGATTACAAAAATTAATAAATACGCGAAAAAAATTTATTACATATGTTTTAGAGAACAGATAGATACACGTAAAGTAGTATAAATGTGAAATTTGATACAAATAAACCAGAACACAAAGAATCTACAAGACATAAGCCAAAATTCTAATCTACGGTTGACAAACCCAGGCAAATTAAAGAACTAACTAAATTCAACTATTAAACGCGGATATTCTGCTACTAAAAGAGCTTGTACCTATTCAAAGTAAACGGTTAGCAACAAAATTTATTTAAATCTAGTGTAATAAAATAGGTTTAAACGAAAACATTTCCAGTTACCTCTATTCTACAGTATAATTTCACACAGTCCAATAGACGGCGGCATATTTTGTCTTCTAAACAAAGTTTGCCAGGAGTATGATTCTTTTTTGATTCTTTTGCAAGGTGAATTCTAACGTTCGTTTAAAGCTAGAAATGGCTTTTTTGACGATTTTTTTTTAGTGAAACGTTACGTTTCTAAAAAGTACTTTAAAGTGTATAAATAAGTTACCCGGGCAATTGATCT